CCGAGTTAAGAACTTATCCGAAAAAAATTTTGGGGGGCTCGTACGCAAGTATCACGCTTACCCGGGAGCTGGGTTTGAGCCCACTAATACCCGGTTAAGCGGGGAACATTATCTCAGGATTTCAGCGTTCTAGCTTCTCAGATCCTCGAGTTATGAACTGATCCCAAAAAAACTTTGGCGGGCCCGTACGCAGGTTTTGGCGCCCAATTTAGGGATTGGGGGCGGCAAGTGCATGTAGACTAAGTTCCCGAAATTTCAGTCTCGCAGCTTTTATAGGTCCTGAGATGAAAGTGTGTGACAGAAGCAAACACAGACACACAGACAACCTCTCGTTAATATGCATTTTTCGCACTGCATTGCTGCAAAAAACGCATAAAAAACGGCTCAAAAGATCACACAGTACGAGGTACAAAGTCACAGGATTAATATGTCTGGCACTGATCGAAATGTAACTGTCGAACTCTGGTTTTACCGATACAGCAAACTACAAAACTCAAAACTCCGGGTGGTAGCCGATGCATTTCCGATACATAGTGCTGAATGCTGCGGGGCAAAAATACCATTCACGCAGCCATTAATGATCCAGCATGCTTCAAAGACCATACCGCACGCGCAGGAATGAGTTAAAAGTTTAAAATAACGCACCGGCTGTGCGAAGATGCGTTTTTTGCTTAGTTCCTCGCAGTTTTTGTTGCTACCGGCATCGACTTTTTCGGCAAACGCTTCTAGCTAAACAAACTAAGACTAGTCGCCAGAACTGTCAGGAAACACCCCCTTTAAACTCCAGCATTCCAGGCTCCCGAGTTTGCAACTTATTCAAAAAAAACTTCCACGGCCCGTACGTGGGTACCACACATACCTGGTGTCTGAGTTTGAGCTAATTAATATCCACTTGGATGGAGAACATCCCCTTAAAATTAGGATTCCCTAGCTTCTCAGGTTCCCGAGTTAGCAACTTACCTGAAAAAATTTCATGAGCCCGCACGTGGGTACCACGCATACCTAGAGGGCTGGATTTGGGCCTTTTGATACCTATTTGGACGGGGAACATCCCCTTAAAATTACAGTCTTCCAGCCTTTCAGGTCCCCGAGTTAACGGCTTATCCGGAAAAAAATCTTACGGGCCCGTACGTGGGTACCACGCATACTCGATGTCTGGTTTAGAGCTCAGTAGCACTACGTGGACGGGGAACGTCCCCTTAAAATTCCAGTCCTCTACCTTCTTAGGTTCCCGAGTTAGTAAGTTACCCGGAAAAAACTTTGGTGGGCCCGTGCGTGGGTATCACGCATACCCGAGGGCTAGGTTTGAGCTATTGACACCTACGTGGACGGGGGACATCCCCTTAAAATTTCAGCTTTCTAGTTTTTCTGGTTCCCGAGTTAGCGACTTACCGGCAAAAAACTTTCGTGGGCCCGTACGTGGGTACACGCGGGTAAAAGCGCTCATTCTAAGGATTAGGGCCTGTAAGTACATGTAGATTAAGTCCTCAAAATTTCGGCCCTGCAGCTTTTGTAGGTGTTGAGATGAAAAACCGTAACAGACGCACACAGAGACACACAGACAACCCCTCATCAACATGTGTTTTCTGCACTGCACAGATGCAAAAAACGCTTCAGAAAGTGAATGAGTCTCGACAAAATCGAGGATCTCCCATTGGCGATACGACTAATTTCACGAATTTGTTAAAAACTACTAGAGTGATTGTAAACGATAAACAAATTCCCCACAGCAAGAGAGCATCTTGACTGTTGGCTCACTGCCAGCACAGAAGTGGAGTAAGTAGTAGCAATGATTCGATCAAAACAGTGACCTTTTTGAGGACAACATTGCACTCTTTCTCAATTCCCTGTATTCTTTCTGAGATGGCGAGAAGATTTTCATCGATGTTGGGAAGGATCCTGTATACACCGCTTTTTTTCCAGTACGCAATATCGACGGTAGTCTCGATCAATGTAACAAACTTTTCAAATTGCAGCTGCGCTAAACTCAGTGGTTCCTGCAAAAAAAAAAATAAGTCGTTTCTGAAACAGCTTGCTTGAGAGGCCTACCAACTTTAATGAGTTTTGGACCCATAGAAATGAAATGCTTTATGGTAGACCATGGCCAGAGGTATGCATGCACCGAAATGGCACAAGTGCAGAAGTTAAGAAAAATTATATTTTGCTAACAGTAGTCTAACAGCTAACAAGTAACGACCCGAAGGATTGGGAGGTAACAAAGAAAATTAGGTTGGTTTTCTGCAGCCCATATCTTTGCTAAAGGAAACCCGTTCGTGTGCGACTGGATTAGATTACACGACGAGAGCGAAGGAACCTATGACTGTACAAAGAACAAATGCGTACCACGGATAAGAGTCGGCTACAGTCAAAACCCACCAGTGTCATCGAGGTGCAGACGCTCACCCAAGCCTCACTGATAACAAATCGAAACTGGATCAATGCAGCCGTCGTTTTATTGTTGGATTTATTTTTGTCAATCACGTGTCTGGTAAATTCTTCATTCTCCGCCATTTCTGGCCCTTATATCCGTACCATTTAATACGAATGTTTGCAAGAATTTTCACACCGTTTAATGGTACCCCCTTCACCCGTTTAACATTGCGCAGGTACCGTTCAACAAATCCCCTCTGATCTCTTAATAATAAGAATTCAAAGGGGATTTGTTGAATCTGTTACCTCTTACTACG